AGTGATCATGTAATTGGCACAGCAATCGCTTGAAGAACGAAAAATTCTGCATCTCGAAAAGGAAACACAGTTGAAGGCTGAAACTTTCAGCATAAATACTAGACCAGGTCACCTGTTTTCGATGAAAGTTTCAAGCGGATATTGAAAAAATTGATTGAGTTATGAATTTTTCAATGTAGTGCGTTTTTCGCTGGGAAAAACAGAAAAACGGGTGTAACTTTGGAAGGAAGCAAATCGGGCAGATATCCTTTGAGGCTTTTTCACACCTCAATAGGACCTATCGATCGGCACATGAATGGACGAAATCGGATTCCGGCACCTGGGAATGTTCCCTCGTGAGTTATGAAGTTTTTAATTTTTGATGAAAATAATCAAAACTGGATTATCTAATATAGGCTTTCACTGGTTTGTTGCAGTTTCTTCTGAAAACTAACATTGCCACGAGATTCAGCATAGTCGATAACCTATTTCATTCATTTCTGACAGTTTCAAACCTAACGGCAGAGGAGTGCTAAGGCTTCAGGGAAAACGTCCATAGTTCCCAAACCATGGGTTTTCAAGATGTCGCTTGGATCCAGTTTTGTAGAGGACACTTCGAACTATATATGCCCTCAACAAATCGATACATTCCTACATGAATTTCGGAAAATTTAAGCTAGTTTCCCAAAAATCCTATGGAAAACTGGCTTCGAAAATTCATCAAGTCTATCGAATGGTGAAAACCACAAGTCTCTATCTCTACTTGATGCTTAGTTATTGAAAAAAGAACTACGGCTCTTGTATTTTGGCTGCGATAGTAGTTTAAAAGCCTTAAAAAAATGAAAAATCTTACACGTATTTCTGATTTAATTGGTTTAAGAGTTTGACCATTTTTGATATTTGTTTCAACAAACATTGTATAATAATTATCAGATGTAAAGCCTGATGCTGAAAATTTAAATATATCGGATTTTAGTACAATTGTTTCTGATTGTGGTACATTATCAATATAAAGCTACAAAATAGAATTGTCCACAACAGCATGCAGAGACGGTAGGAAGAAAATTTTACTTTTAAATTTTGAATTGATTTATATGCATTTTTTGGTTTTACACTAATTTCAGCAAATATTTTATTATCCGGACATTGATCTTCAGATAAAACTTTTAGATTTAATTGTATATCATGTCGGTTCATTCTGTTTATTTCATCTGTCTAAAACATGAATCATATACACAAAATCACATGAAGAAGTACTTCCACATACAATTATAGGTTTCGATTGTAAAAACCTGAAATATTATCAATTTTCAACATTCAAATGATAAACTAGCATTTTAATCTTACCTTCTTTCGTCTCGTTGTTGAACATTTTCAATTCGTCTATCAGTTCTTTCTCCTTCTTCTTCTTCGTGATCGTCGTCGTTTGTATCATCGGCTATTGAAAAAATCGATAGAGTCAGTTAAAATCAAATGCGTTAAAGGGAAAAGTGCTAAAAACAGATGTTTGTCAGTATTTATTTAACAAATGCAATAAATCGAAATCTTTCTATGGTTCTAACGAATTTTCCAAGAGTCGGTAGAGCTCTCAAGTCTAATAGTCCACTTTACTCTACAAAAAAGTAAGACTTAAAAATCCACTATTTTATATTTGGAAAACGGTAATGAAAAGTTTTTTTCTTGTTTCATGTATTGAATTTTAATCTATTTTCTCCTGTACAAATTATATATATTACAAACTTACATTGTTCAGACAAATCGTTTTTGGGCATTGTGGTTGTATAACAATTTATTTCGTACACTATTTAATTTATTATTATGCACATAGAAACTCACAGCATACTAGAGTTGTGAACGCTGCTCGCTTTTTTCTTTCATAACTTCTCTTATATTGTCGAAAAGAAACAGAATAGCTTAAGGAAAGAAACAGAGAATTTTTTCTTATGGCTCTCAAGGTGACAAGCATACGCACATACATCGAAAGAAAAAAAGGAAACAAACAACGTCTACATCATCATCATCATATAAAATTTAAAAAAAGGAAAAGAGAGACAAAACGAAAGAAAGAGAAAACAACCACTGCAGCTGTGTGTGAGAGAGTCAGTTTGTTTATGATCAATTTTTAAAGAATAATAAGATATTTACATTAGTTACGAAATTAATGAAATCTTATGAAATGACTGATATATTCCTGTAACTAAGAAGAGTTATTATCTTATTAACATTGAAAAATATAATGAGAAATGTATGTTAAATCATAATTTCTTTTTATGATCTTTCTGTTCTGTTCTGAGTGAAGTTGAGAGAGATGCAAGAGTCATGTGCTGCGAAACGAGACCTTTAAAGATCAGGAAATCAAAAGTGTTTATTGAGGATCAGAAATATATGATTCGCGCACAATGGGCAATTTCGACTAAGCACGTGGACATGTGCCATGGAAGTGATATGAAAGTCTCGAAACGCTATATCTATAGGTTTTCGTATGTGCTCTTTCGAATGATGTGATTTGCAAGATCAAAGACGTTTTTACCAGGATTTCCAGAGATCCGGTCTTTGAGAAATCTGACTAAAAGTGACTTCAAACTTTATAAATCACACCATTTGAAAGAGCGCATACAGAACCTACGAATATAATTTTGGCAGCCTTTCAAACTGCTTTTAAATAAAATATTTTCTCGGTTCCAAAACGTACTGGGAAAAAAACTTTTTTACGAATAGATAGAGTAAGATGTCTAGTTTTGGATTATGTATAATTATTGGAGTGCTGTCATAATAGGGATACAGTCTGTATTCGAGTAAAATGCCAGAATCTCAAGTACTGCTAAAAAATGTTTTTTCGGAACTCACTCTCACCCTGCCACAACCCCCGCCCCCACCTACACCTACAAAGTGCTTGGGATTGTTGGGATTCTGGGATTTTGTGGATACAGACTCTGTATCGAGTAAAATCTCAGGTTTATAAATGCCTGGGATTGTTAGGATTCTGGGATTTTACGGATACACACTCTGTATCCGTATTATGACATCTCTGAATTATTGAGATTATCATGTTCGGTTTCGCGAGAAACAATATTTCTATGTTCATTGGTCTGTTTTTAAAGAAAAACTTCCATAAAGATTATTCCTACTTAAGACGGCACTTAGAAGAAAACTTCCTGTGGCCATTAAATAGTGCATATGCTGAAGTATATGACCTGCTATTAAAATCTTGTAAAGTGTACTTTCGTTTTTTCCTCTAAAGTCCACGTGGATGCCCACTGTGTCGCGGTGTTTCAGAAGTGAAAGGTAAAGTCATGAGCCTTGAGAAATAATTCAGTTTGATGAGAATTATTTTGGAAGCAAGAACTGGACGAATTCCGAAAGGTTTCAAGTCCTCAAAAGATCCTTCGTATCCAAACTCGAAAATCCTAGTAAAATCTTTGAGTAATATCTGACTCAATGAAAATTCTGTTTCCAGTTCGATCTCCTGTTCGGGAGGGTTAAATTGACAAGTGACCTAAGTTTTCGCATAATGATCTATATCAATTCAGCTGTAAGACGCTTTTATCAGTGTAAACCAATTTAGACAAAACTTGTACAAATAAAGTAAATTTCGAAGGTGTCTTCAAGGATAATTATCACATAACCAATGAAGAATAATTTCAAGAATATCATATAGAAGCGTGAATATGTACAAGTTTTGTATCTGCAAAGTAAGTGTAGAACAGACAGAATAGACTCATAAAATCTTTAAAAAATATTTTACTTATATTTTTCCGTAGATCAGATGCGCCTGTTGATAACAATTTCCTGTGTTATTGCAATCGCTTAAAAAAAGATCATCCAAGTGGCAGTACTCTGCAAAAATAATGGGATATTAATGTACATTCAACACCATTTCCAAGTAATGAACATTGAAAATTTGCTACTGATGGTTGGATAAAATTATCTTTCTTTTTTTCTCAAAATATTTAACTTTGTTTGATTTTAGTATTTAAGATGTGATTTACAGACCGATCCAAATACGATCGTAAGAAAAAATCTTATTTAATGTGTGGAAAGCGAAAGAATTACGGTTAGTTATGTCAATAATTGGTGGTGCTAAATATTTTAAATTAGCTGAAAAGCTGGAAACAAAATTTATTAATGAAATTATAACGGTTGCACTAAAATTGGGTAACAATTTCATATCATACATTTATGATTTCTGTCTATAAATGAGCGTCCAAAATCGAGTAGAATGATGTACCTTTTTATTTTATCCGACCACTTTTGTTTTTTTCGAATTTTCATGTCGAGATATTACTGCGATTTTTACCAAAAAATGAAAATCAGCGAAAACTTTTAAAACATAAACCATTCGACTCAGTTCTGGATGATAATCCCGAATATGATACTTTTATTGCATAAAAGTTGAGTTCTGGTGGAGAAAATTGAGAATTATGAGTATAATTTCGATTCGAATGGCGTGTGAAACGAGGCTTCATCCGTTAAGGCAAGGAGACCTGATGTTTTTTTGAGCTGATTTTTTCCTGCCGGCTTCGTAATATGCGAAAACTTTGAAACCGCATTTTCATATTGCAGTTTGCAATACTAATTCAGAAAAAAATGTTTCAAAGCTCCGAAATGCAATAAAAAAAAACTATCGTCGTTTTTCTCGAAAGACGAGTTTTTTCGATTTCAGCATCTTTCCGGTATTTTTTGTTTTAACCGTAAAGGAAAGTTCTGGAAAGATTTTAAAGGTAATTTTCAGATTCAACTCGCTCTTCTCTATCCACCCATGTGTAAATATTGCGAAAATAAAACAGTATTGTAACTTTGAATTAGCGGCGCCTTACTAACTGGTTGATGTTGTATTTAGAGGCTTGGTTACTAACAAACGGATTTAACATCGGCATTACTCAATTCGTTGATCAAGTAATTAATAAAAGTCGTTTGGCAAGAGTGGATGATGAAATTATTGCTATTGGTTTACCAAAATATGGTTGTATTAAATATACTAAAGAATTAGAAAATCATCACCCATAGACGCAGAAGTACGTGCTAATGCTATATAATTCATCTGCTGTACTAAACTGGATGTTTGTTTATTAAGAGAATTGTTCAATCAGACGAACAAAGACTAGACATATACAAAAACCAGCAAATGTTATACAAGAAACACGTCATGGCGAAAGAGATTTAGAAATACATCATACACATTATTTATTATTGGATGATGGTAACTTACTATGCGACAATAGGATATCAAAGATTATCGAACACGGTTAGCAATTGCTATAGCCAATGTTAGAAGTAAGAAAGAATTACCATAGAGGTATTGGTCATAGAGAAAAATATTTTTAATATACAGAATAATTCTGTTTCGTTTTTAGTTCCAATAGTGACAATTGTAGTTGACGGTGGTCGTGATACAATAAAAAATATTTATTACGATTTACATCATGATGTATCTGTTGTCATTGTTGATGTATGATTAGAATTGTATTTTAAAAAATTTTTCTTTTATTAAAATATTTGACGTTTCGACCATAAGATGATCTTCGTCAAACGGTTAGAAGCAACAATACAATGTAAAAGACGGTTTTTTGATGGATTTTGGAACGTTTTCAGAAACTCTAAAAAAACGTTAATCAAATACATTTGAAAATTTCTATATCAGACAAATTAAAATCTTCATGTCCAGTAAATGTTTTATTTCCTTTTCCAGATGTGTCCATGAACGTTTGAAGAAAATTGATTTTTCCACTCTTCCTTGCACTATTAACATAAATATCGCTTTCCGTTGATCCATCGCCAAATGTTGGACCATAGTCTGTAGAATGCAGATATGTTGTGAAGCTTAACTTATGAATTTTATATTTTGTGAGTGGAATATTATAGGGATTTGTGAGCGTAAATAAAAATGCATTTCCATCTTGTCTGAATTTTCCACCTGGTATGATTTTATTCCACGTTGCATTTGTGTAACCAAATCCATCTCGCGCTGCCTTATATATGTGTTTCTATTGTTTAGACAAATTAAAATAAAAAAAATTTAATATCAACTGTTGATCATGAGACAGTAACGTTGCTCCATCGAATAGTGAGACCGATTTTATTTCATTGATCGTTTCTACCAAATTCATTTTTGAACGGACAATAATGCAACTTTTGTTAATATATAGAGTGCCTTGGGGTAATTATGGTCAGGTCCTCAAAATTTCGTCGTATTTCTGCTATAGTTCGCTTAATTTTTATCCGAGAACAGCGCTATTTTACAGGTAAATAGCGGTGACTTCTGGCTATCGATTCATGTAAAAATTTTCTTAAAATTCATTTGCATTAATTAGTACTAATCAATTTCCAAAGAGCATCTTTCGATTGACCATAATTACCCCATAGTCAGTCAACGTGTACCGTTGGGGTAATTATGGTCAATACAGCAAGAATGGCTAAGATAATCTTTAAATTAACTTAGCTTTAACGAGGGATTTAAAGGAAAATAATTAAAAATTATATCATCTTATAGAGAATTTCAAGCCTGAATGAATTGCATGCTGTTTGTGCTTCCGGTTAATTAATTAATTAGAAACTACAAGAATGTGTGTTTTTCGAGAAAAAGTCACTTGGGGTAATTATGGTCACTCAGCTATTTTTCATGGCGTAATTACGATCAGTACGTGTATTTTGCACGGAAAAGTTAGAGTTTAAATTCCATCGACTTACAGAGATCGATTTTACATCAGTGACAAATAGAGAAGTTATAGACGCGATTGTTCTCTATTATATCAAGTGAAAAGTGGAACATGATCGCTTGGTTCTAGCGATTTGTAGCCGTCTTTTGAGTTTTGCTGAATTTTATTATTTATTATCTGATTTTTGACAGTCCAATTGAGGTGGTACCTGTAATAATTGTGTAATTAAAAAAGTGTTGAAGTTTTCATATTCTCCAGATACTCTTCTATCTCTTGAGTAAAAGAAAAATTTGAAGACATAGATTTTTACTCGAATTATGTAGCATTTGATTCAATGACCTCAAGAAGCCGTCATGAAATTCAGATCACTTTTAGCAAAGAATCAAGTGAATTGATAAAAACTTTATTTAAAAATCATACTCCAGTAGATCCTCATACTCACGTAATCCCTATTCAATTTCCAAATTATTTTAAATGCTGGTATCAATCTTTTCATCCAGTACCGTGCTCATCATATATAAGATATATTTGCAGAGCTTGTGTAACATCTGATTCATCAAATTCACATACATTAATATTTTGTACAGTCGAACAATCAAACATGTTCCTCAATGATTTTTAAATAAAGTTTTTATCAATTCACTTAATTCTTTGCTAAAAGTGATCTGAATTTCATGATGGTATCTTGAGGTCATTGAATCAAATGCTACATAATTCGAGTAAAAATCTATGTCTTCAAATTTTAGAAAAATAGCTGAGTGACCATAATTACCCCAAGTGACTTTTTCTCGGAAAACACACATTCTTGTAGTTTCTAGAAAATTAACAGGTGCCGCAAGGGAATGGTACAATAATCATCAAGAAGAATGTTCGGATTATGTGTCATTAATACATGAATTGAAAACAACGTTTTCATCATTAATCAGAGACGAGATGGCATTTCAAAGATTACCATGCCAACAAACTTACAGTGAAACAATCATAGATTATTATAATCATGTTTTACAATTATGTCAACAAGCTGACCCAAATATGAGTGATGAATCAACAGTTAAATATTTAAAACAAGGTGTTAAACCATCATTTCGTGAAAAAATTTTGGATCAAAATCCCACAACACCCAAAGAATTTCTTCGATACGCTCGTCGAATTGAAGATATAAAAGATAGTTTAGCCATAAATACAACATCATCATTCAGTCAGGATACGCCATCGAGTGGTTATCATTCATCGCGTCAATATTATAATAATAATCGTAATAATGGTCGGGCATATCAACAGCAGCATCCAATACTACCATCGACACCTAGGTTACCAAAACCAGCCACGAATGTATCATCATCGTCCGCTAATAATAATCACTATTTTGAACGACAAAATGTTACATGTTATGGATGCGGTCAACAAGGACATTATCTACGAGCATGTCCCCAAAATCGGCAGCAACGACAACATTTTCTGTAACGAGGTCACCGGATGGTAGTGATCTCGTCAATAATAATATTAATAATCCATCGCCGTTACCGTTCATTTTTGTCCCAGTTAACAACATGTATATGAAAACATTAGTCGATACCGGAGCCTCACACACAATTATTCAACAGAGTGCATTAAACAAAATCCGTCATAGACATGTTTATCCAGTCCAACAACGTTATCAGTTGGCTGATGGTGCTTCACCATTATCTGTTATTGGCTA